AGAGGGGTAGCCGATGATGCCACAGTTCCTCCTGAGGAAAATATTTCAGGGCACCAGTCTGTGAGAACTGAAAGATACCCACTCCCTCTCACATTACAGTCTCACATACTGGATGAATCTATTATCTGATATGTTCCTATGTAAGATTAGTTCATGTGGATTTCTTTTTCACTTACAGGCATTGCTAGGTACTTGCACGATTCAGGTCTGCATCATGTAAGAGAACAAATCTGGGGGCGGGGAGGGAGTGCTTCTTCATTACAGGGCTGAATTTGTGGCCCCTGGCACATGACATTCAGGGATGTGGGAAGCAGATTCAAGACCTTAGAAAGAGGTTGGGGGGTGAGAGGAAACAGGCTGATCTCCATGGATTTGTTTTCCTCCCTTGTATATATGGTGGAGAGCAAACCTCTGGCAACCCAGGCTAAGAGAGGGGTCATAGCAACTGGCGTACGGGCCAAAGACATGCCTGCTGAGAACAGCTTGCAGAAGCCAGGCGGTGGGAAGCAGATGGGGGAGGGGGAGGCCCTTGGCCAGCACTGCCCTAATCCTGGCTTTAGCTGGAGTTATGCCTTGCAGCTGGCATGGAGCAGCAGAGGGCGAGCGGTGTTTCCACATCCATCCGTTCATAACACAGTGGACCCTAAATGCCAACCAACCAGCACTCTCAGGTCTTTATGTGGATTGGGGGAAATCCCTTGAAGGTTTAATTCCATCAGCAAAATATTGCGCTATTCCCTACCCCCCAGCCCCAAACTGAGATTAATCCGTCTCCTTCCCATATGTTGTATTGCATGAGGCAGAAAACTGCCACAGCTCAGAGCAACGTCTGGTCTGGTCTCTTTGGTGCAGCAGAAGCAACAAAGGATTGAATGATGAGCACTTTTTTTAAGGCATACACCCTGGCTGTCGGTCTGGCAGGGAGTTGATCCACTCACCTTGGAGGCAAAGCTTGGAGGAGTTACTTTCTTTACCCTGCCAGTCTGTGTGCACGAGAGTGCATTTGTGTTTATTATTTAGTATTTTGATTTACTGTGCCTGAGGAACAGAGTTTAAGAAGGCTTTCAAACATCATTAAAACTTGTTAAAAACCAGGCTGAATAATAAAACCATGATGACACTGTAGGGGTCAAGATGTTAAAACAGTGTGTGCTGACTTAAAAGGCACTTCCCTGGTCTGAAGCCTGACAGGGGCTCCTGCAGGACACACAGCTGGCCCTGGCCCATCAACCCTCTAGGACAGCCTGTTTTGCGCGGGCACCCCCTCCAGAGGGTGGAGATCCTGGAGAGGTACAGGTTGTGTCAATACAGGAGCTTGACCAGGGAGGAACTAAGGTGGCAGAGAGGCCCTGGGTTCATGGCTGCGTGTCGGATCAAGCAAAGAGTAAGAACTGAGCCAGGTGTTTTATAGCTCTGTAACTATTTGTTTGCTTTTCGTTTTTGTCCTCTTTTGCAAGAGATCCCTGACCCATTGGCTGAACCTGGAGATGCTCAAGGAGACCCAGGGAGTGAGTGGGTAAGGGGATGTCCCACATGATAGTTTTCAGAAATAAAATGGCAAGAAATCATTTTGAGCGCTCAACCGCCTGTTTTGAGCCTGGCTGAAATGGGCATGGATCCCCTTTCCCTGCCTGACTTTCCAAGTCATAAACACAGGGTCTGACAGTGCCTTCCATGATTACTTCTGGATTGTTCATTCGACCGACATGTCTCGTTCACCGTCTGGAACGTTGCTTAACATTGTCTTATGAAGGACTGTCATTTTTTAAATCCTCCTTTGCAATTACATTTAATCTCCCTTCCCCATTAATCTGATTTTCCTGACCCCAACCCTAATTCTCCACAAGGATTCCTCAACCTGCTGTTCTGGCTACCCAACCACAGGGAATCTAATCATGCCTGGAAATTCAGATTTGATCAGCTTAATCCATATTTTTGCATTATTTGTTTTCCAAAGCCTTAGTTATTCTATATCGGCTCCAAAGACAATAGGATGGCAAAGTAGTATTTGGGAAAAAAAAACCTGTACAAACAAGATAGTGAATTGATTATATTCTGAAACACAGTGCTAACTCCTTTACCAAATGAAAGTTTACCACCAAACCTTAGAGGACTGAAGGCAGAAAATTCTTCAGCTTCGGGAGCTAAACCATACAACTATATAGTGTTAACATTTCCCAGGTGATTATCTTTTCACTCTGCAACCTTTCATTGATAGTGAGCCAGCCTATTAGAATTTGCATTTCCTTGAGATGTAAGATCATCATGACCTTAAAACTGTAGGGCTGGAAGGGATCCTATGGATCATAGAATCTGGCCCCTGCCAATGAGGCACCAAGGGGGAATCAAACTCCCAACCTCTGGCTCTGCAGCCAGAGACTTCAACTACTGAGCTGTCCACACGGATCTTTCTAGCATTTTTATGATATCCATTTACAAACATGCAAAACTGAGCAGGAGGATTCTGTGACATGCAATGCCTGTCTCAATGGAAGCACCAGTTCTCCTGAAAGAAAGCTGCATGTTGCAGGAGAAATCCCTCTGTCCTTTATTGGCTTTTTGGCACCCAGCTGCAAAATTCAGATACCTTTCATCTTCACAAAAGCTAGATCACAGTTGGCAAACTCTAACTGGCCAAATAGCTGTTGAGCAGCAGCCATCGTTAAGTTAATGCTGCTCATTTAAGACCCATCTTCCAGCCCTTCCTGTCCATCGGAGACCATCTTTTACAACCACTTATTTTAAAAAGGAGGGGGGGAATTGGCCCCCTCACTCAAAGTAACAGAATAGCAATCCTCATTAACAAAAGAGCAAAATGGGTGAATGATGAATACTTAGCCATGATCCGTGTCACCCTGGAGATACTTTTGCTGAGATTAGTGCCTTGAAATATTTGTACGGAGGATGATGTTTAGAAGAGGAAGGAATGAATGGCAAGGGGCCTCTGTAGATATGGTTTGGCCATATCCGAATGCTAGTTCCTAGAAGACAGGTGTGGGTAGAGCTGTTGAGACAGGAGAAAGCTGCTGCTTTTGGACCACGGCTCCCAAAATCTACCAACCAGCCTGACTGCCATGAAAGCTGGAAAAGTTCCTCTCTCTCTCTTTTGGGATGTCACTGTTAGAATCTTCCAATCCATACAGTGGAATTGTTGCCCAAAACAGCAACATCTGTAAGCACCTCCAGTTGCTTCGCTTTCTCACATATTCCATCACAAAATCTTGGTATAAATCCATGTCTGGAAAGCGGTGGTGCCTTCAACCTGTCTTTCTGTGTTCATTATCTGTTTGAACAGCTCTCTGCTCCTTTCGCCAAATTACTCCTCTCTACCCAGCCAGGAGCACTAAATTATAACTCATTTCCTGCTATGGAGTGGCTAGGCAAAACAGTTAAACAGGGTTTTGTGTGTTTGTTTTTTCAATCTTGTTCCAAAATAATTGGAGGTGCTTGCTGGCCGAGTGCCAATGCCAGGGCATGGAGGCAGGGTGGGGTGGGAGAGAACTCAAGCTTGAGTGCCTCCCCCCTCCTGCCTCTCTCTAGACTATCATAATAGGTTATTCGTACATAATCCTCTTTGAGTTGGGAGGTTTGCGTACAATAGTCTGGGGGCCATTATTAATCGTAATACATTTGAAGAGTGGAATTAGAGGTGGACTAAGGGGGGGGGATGGCTTTCCTTTCCCCCCTCTCTGTCTGCTGCCTGCCTCTCCCTCCACAAACTGCCATCATGTCAATGCAATCATGTATGGGGCTTTTAATAAATGGATCTCATCTTCTTCTTACGTTATTTTCCATTTCCTTGAAGCAGAAGCTCTGGAAATGAGTCTAAGACCCATCAGAAGACATAACCAAGAGAAGTGTTGCCCAAGGGAGTCTGGATCGGTGGACAAGGGGGGGCGGTGGAATGTAGCTGAGTAGTAGACAGTGATCCAGACCAGGTCCAATCTCTGCAGCGGTCAGGCTGGATTAGGAAGAAGTCCTGCCTAGGACAATGTTCTCAGCCTGTGCAAGCCATCTCTTTCTAACCAATAGAAACCAAGAATTACATTCCAGCCATTAGATTCAGATGCAATGAGCCCAGAGTTTGAAGAAATTACTTCTTTTGGAATGAACTCCTAGAATCTCTTCAGCCAGCAGGGCCAAAATGTTAATTTTCCAGGCTCCCGGAATCACCCAGATGTATAGAGCATTTTCTGAGATGCCCTATACAATTTCAGAATGGAGTAGCTAGCAGCTAGCAGGAACCAAATACATCTTTCAGCTGTTGAGAATTCTTGTCTGCAGTCTTAATTTCCTTTGAGTCTTGGGACAGAATTAAGAGACTTTAGGTAGATGGGCATCACTGACTTAAAACTGGCTCAAGTGATGAAAGCGCAGGCTTTCTTTACCTCTGCCTGTTGCAAATTTTGCTTGTGTTTATTTTGAATTGGTCACTGGAGGGGGGTGGATATAGATTCTATTTGCAAGTCTGACTGATGAGGCACAGAGATGTGGTGGAAGTACAACCGTGAAGGGAAATCATGATAGGAGACACACCGTTCCTTTAATAAGATTTGTGGTTTTAATGCACTGCAGCTAAAATGACACACAACCACTTTGTCATGAGTTAGAACCTGAACTCAAGCTGATGAGGAGCTGAAGAGCCCCTGCAGACACTACCAGACCCTTCTAGGAGGCTGAATAGCCAGATGAAGGCAACTCTGTGACAGAGTCGGAAGAGGAGGCTGGACCCACACCCAGCCCAGCAGAATGCCATAGACTGAAGGCATAAGCCCCCCAGGCAAACTGCTCACCTGCAAGGAAGACTTCTTCATGAAAAGAGCTTTCCTCAGGCATAGGGGTCTCGTTGAGGGAAAGGTCTTCCTCCCAGAGACACCAGCAGTTCAAGTCCCTCTAGCTGAGCCCATCTTCCTAGGGAAATCAGCCACTCAATCCCCTGCAGCTGGAACTCCAGCTGCTTAGCAGTATAAACCTCTGCCTTGGAATTGTGTCTTTTTCAGGGACACCATCTTTTTGGAGCTCCAGATTTTGCCTACCGTATCCTGACTCTGGCTGTGACTTGCCTGCTGTGTATGATGTTGGATCGAGTTGAGTGTGTTGCTTAGACTCTCTCTGCCTGTTTGCTCTTACCGCCTGACTGTCTTGACTCTCGACTGTTCTTGGACTTCGGTTTTGGATCTGCCTTGGCTGCTTCACCCAACTTGCTGGTAGGACTTCCTTTATTTGACCTCAACAAGGAACAAAAACACTACCAACAATAAACACTAACTTAGGTTTTTAATCTGTACAGGACATGCTGTTGAATGTACACCAGTATGCCATAGACGTTTTTTAAACAAACAAACAAACAAAGCATTTGTGAACCTGCTGTTCTCTATGTATAACCTCCTGTCATCCTCAAACAACACAACTGTTAGGTGGGGATGATGGGACTTGTAGTCTAACATGACTGGACAAGAGTAATGTTTTCTTTCCCCGGCATCTTCCTATGTAAAAGCAACAACATTCCACTGGAGCACTTTTGATTTATTTTGCCATCTGTTGAGAACAGTCTGTTACTGATAGAGATAATTTCTGATTCCTTTCACATCACTGTGGTTTTGGCAAGTGGTGGATAACCTTGAAGACAAAGCTTGAACAATATCTTTGGCATATCAATTAACCTTCTACCAAACAGCTTAATCAAATGGATCTGCACGGAGCTTGTTACTGGATTGAACATCTATTTCCTATAAAAATGGTCAGTAGATCTGTACAGAACCTCCCCTTAGTTTGTATTTTAGGAGCAGAAAAATGACTTTCCTGGACCCCAACTCTGAGAATCTGCCACCAGCGGCCTTCATCCTTCCATATTTCAGCTCTTCCCATCCTGACTTTCCCTACATGGGTTAGAGAGCAGAGATACTGCACAGAGTATCTAACCCCCAGAGTTCCTTCATAACACTCTTGCAGGTGGAAGAGCATTTGCAGGGGGAAGAGTCTGGAAAAGATATGGAGGCTAAGGAACCAGTCTTCATAATGAGCTGCTGGATAGCTCAGGGGTTTAGGTCTCTGGCTGTAAAACCAGAGGTTGGGAGTTTGATTCCCACTGTTCATCTTCAACAGGGGCTGTACTCCATGATCCATAGGGTCCCTTCCAGCTCTGCAATTCTTAGATAATGATGATGATCTGCCTTCTGGTTCTGAACTGGAAATGTGCTAATTCTGCCATGACTAGACCCTTTCCCCTTCTAGCCAAGGTTATGGATCAGAAATAAACCAAGATGGTAGAGACTGGGCCTACTAAAGTGGATGTGGTGAGGCCAATGGGGCAATTGGCATGACATGATTTGAACATCACTTATCCTACACCTGTACTTCTTGCAAAAAATCTCCTTCCCCTGGATGCATTGGAATCTGGGTGTGGCAGCCTCTAATGATGGTCCGTTGAACTACAGGTGGCAATGTACTCCAGAGGCATTCATTCAGGTCCTAGACTTGACTCTGAACACCCAGGTTATCCATTGGCTCAGCCTGGTGAAGGAGGAGTAGAAGCAGGCTTCTCATTTAATTCAATCTTGTTTCATCCACAGTGTCTTCCTGAATCCTGGCCTATTCCTGTATCTTTAGTTATACTTTAGCTTTGATTGGTGGCTTCCAGTTTTGTCCTCTTGTTTGATTTTTGGTTTTGACGTTGGATTGCTCCTCAGTTTTGACTTTTAGTTTGCCCTTAGGTCCCAACTACTGGCTTAGTTTGCATTCAACTCCTTGTTTCCAGCTCCTGGCACATCATGTCACTATATGTGGGTTTGGGGATCATGTATGTCCCAGGGGCAATGTGTTGGTATGCCCTAGCTGGGGCTGGAGGAGGAGATAGATCACCAAATATAGTGACTAGTGGGTAACCTTTGGCTTGAAGATTCACCCACTATGTGCACTTTGTGTAAGCTGCAAAAAAATGCAAAACAGCCAAGTGCAAAACAGTTGCACTCCAAGCTTGTTTTGAAGACAATGCTCTGCCTTTCTAAGCATCTGGGAAATTTCAGTGTACCATGTTCAGCATATAAAACTGAGGTGGAAGGGATGTTTGAGGGCAGATGTTGTGTGAAGGCAAGGCAGTTGCTTGAAGAGGTTTCAAAGGAGCCACCTGTCAAACAAAAGGGAAGCTAGTTCAGGCAGAAGGGAGACCATGACAGAAGGCGTGTAGAGCAAGCTGGGAGATGGGGGTGAAGAGAGCAGGCAAGGCATAGAAAGGTAAACAGCTTTGGAGGTGATGGGATGTGCAGTTGAGGGCAAAGGCCATGCTGTGCATTCTGTTTGCTCAGCACTTCTGACAAAAATGATGTATTCCAGGAAGCCATGTCTTGTTCACAAAGGAAAACCAGCTTGGCCATATTATGCCTCATTTGCAATCATGCTGATCCAAATCCCCCTTTTTGTTCAGAAGGAGAATCATGTTCCCTAAATGTTTGCTATGTAGGGCACATTTGCTGGTTTATGTTTGTTCCTTCACCACCACCCTGTATTAAAATTGGAAGCATTTTGCTTCCACTCAAACAGAAGTCAAAACCTATGTCCCTGAGCAAGACAGCCTCTTTGACCCTACAAGATGCACAGTTAGGAAAGTGACATAATCCCTTAGGTATCTTGGCCACCTCCCATCCCTGCTAGGAGATATAATGTGGGGCTCAGGATGGGACTTCACTTTCTAAGCAACTGGACTGACCCATAGATTCCTTGTACCTGGCAGCTGTAGCTGCTGTGGCTACCTTTTTGCTTCTCTGTGGATGCCACTGCCGATAGATTAGTCATGCTGGGTTGGATGACTGTGGGTATTACAGTCCAGAAATGTATTGTTCTCTGACTCTGGAACTTCACTGTAAAACTAAAATGCCTTAGAACTCATACCCATCTCTCAATCACTTTTATTATTGGCCATTTAAAAAAAAAATGTGTGCATTACATATGTGATATACACAATATGGGACCAATTATTCCACCAAATGCCTCCCTAACAGCTCAGGTTGTCCTTTAGGCTCCTTTCTTAGGCACCTCATTCTATGGCAGTTAGGCAAGGGGTCACTAAAGAAAGTATCTCTCCTGTGGTTGCTCTCTGTAACCAGGCGTCCCCATTGTGACAGATATGCCTGGCAGTTTAGCAGAACTTGGAAAAGTTACTTTTTTTGGATCACAACACTCACAAATCCGGCCCCCACTCCCTGTCAGCATGATGGCCTGAACCATCATTTAGAGCAGATCTTGGAAAAACTACTGTTTTAAATCACAATTCCAAGGATAACCCAATCAACAAAGCCAGTAGCATTTCCAGGTTCTGCTAGAAACCAACTTTCCAGATCTATTGTGAGCTGAGAGTATGGGGAGTTGTAGCCCACCAAGTCTAGAAGGAAACTCAGTGGAGAAGGCTTCTTTACACCTTCTGAGATGGTGACCATCTGCATCACAATGGAGCTGTCCGTTGTCCTGAACAACCAAGACTCTGCGGTTGGAGCCCATCTTACATCCAATAGGAGACCACCATTGTGGAAGGCTTCCTCCTTTTATATACAGTATTGCAAGGTTGCAGACGGACTAACAGGAGGATTATTTTAAAATTATTGTTATTGTTTCAAAGTGCCCTGTTCTCTTGCGATAAGATGGTTTATAACACATCTAAATTAATTAAATAAAAAACTCTGTTCTCCAACCAGTGGCTTGTTTTTCTGCAGTTTGTCTTGACTGCAGACATTCTAATGAGCTTGGGCTGATATTAGATGATTTTATTAAATATCTTTGGCTTTCAGCCCAGTTTCTACTTCACCTTCAGATGAGGTGAACCTTCTGTCTTTAAAAAATCTTCCATTGATCTCTCACTCTTTAAAGTTCCTCCAGAAAGAAAAAAAGCACAAGAACAGGCAGCAAAACATATAAATGAAGTCTGTGAAAAAGTTGATTTCCCCTTTTCTGTTCTTTTGAAGGGTTATGGGAAAGCCATGCCAAATTTAGCATAAGACTTCATACGCCCACAATTGGAGAAAGTATCTGCTTAGGATTTCAGCTCTCAGCATCCCTAGCCAGCACATTCAGTAGTAGCTGAGTTGTACCCCAGAAATGGATTCATATCAATAGCTGAGGCAGTATTGCCTTTCTTTATATACCTGCCAATTGCTGGAGAACTGCTGGGCAGAAGCTCCTTCCATGTCCCACCATCATGATGCATATAAGTGCTTTCTTACGGTAGCACTCCAAATGTAATGCCTTTGGAGGTCTGGTTAGCACTGACATCATTCCATGCTTAGGGAGAGCTTGGCTTGGTGTATACTCTTTCCATTTGTGGGTGTTCTGGTCTGAATTGCTGAATTGTTTTAAACGCCCAAATCCTATTGGTGATCTGAGCCAAAGAAGATCATTGGATCAGCTGATTCAGTGGTGACTCAACACATGTGTAAACCCCATTGACTCAATGAACTGGTGTAGTTGAGACTACTCACAGGATGCTATCCCAAATGTTTTGGTTTTTACTTGTTCTTCAGTGAGTTTATTAATTCTATTGACCTAGCAACCCTGCTCTTAACTAATTAATAGTTTTATTTTCTGTATCATTATTATTTGTAATGACCTTTTTACATATTCTTGCATACTTTAACAAATAAATATTCCCTCCTCACCCCAAAATCTTCTCTCAAAATTGCAGCTCTGGTGGTGGTGGTGGCATGGTGTGGGGGAGAGAAGGGGTATGCTTCCTGAGCTCCGAGAGAGCAATTAAATTCAGTGCCCATTTGAAGTGGATGCAATAAAGTTAAACAAAATCGAAAGCAATATGCTAATTACAAAAACATCCATCAAGCTGCATCTCTCAGAGATGATAGCCCTGCACTTTGTCAGAACTTCTTGACGTGTACGAGAAATTCCAAATTACCCTTGAAAGTCCCCAGCTGGAGAGACTTTCTAAGTGCAGACATAAAAGGGTGTTGGAGCAGATCAGTCGGCTTAGAGCCTGGCTCTGTACTTCACTTTGCTCCTCCGAGCGCTTCAATCATGCAAAAAAAAAAAAAAAAAAAAAAAAGAAGAAGAAAAAGAGAGAGAGAGAAAAAAAAGCATCCCCGCACCAGCCCGACTCATTAGCACTGGTCCCAAAAGTAACATCAGTCAGACTGGCTGCAGATTCACTGTGGATTCTTTGCCCCTCAACAGCTTGAGCCCAAATAAATCAATACCTTGCCCAAAAGTTCCCCCTCTAATTGTGGTCTCTTCCCTTTGCTAGGGCTAGGATCTCCAGCCATTGAACCCTCAATGGCTTGCATACAGACCAAGCGACTTTGCAAATCTGTCTCCACTTAAACCTTTAGGCTCCAGCGCTATCTTTTTACAGTTCTTTTCTAACATGGGCCAAACAGCTCTTTAAACAGAGGACTATCCTTAAACCCACAACTGTCCTCAGGCACAGGAAGGGTGAACTGGTGTCTCTCTAGATGTGGTTGGGCTGCAGGTCCCATCATCCTTCGTCACTGGCTTTCTGGCCTATGGGAGTTGCACTCTAAGAACATCCCTGCTCTGCTGAAGGCCACAAAGAGAGAACCACCCTCTGCAAAGCTGGACACAGGGCAGCCCCATGCCTTTTTAGAACCTGGGCCTTTTGTGTATTTTGTGGATGTGTGGCATATGTATTTTGATGCTTTATGCCTTTTTTCTATGAACCGCCCTGGAAATTTTAGATAGAGTGGTCCCTGGACCAGATGGGCGGGGTATAAATGAAATAAATAAATAAATAATAGTCTTAGAACTGCAGAGCTGGAAGAGACTTTCTGGACCATTGAGTCCAGCTCCTGTCAAGGAGACACAAGGGGAATCAAACTCCCAACCTTTGGTTCCACAGCCAAAGACCTAAAACACTGAGCTATCCAGCAGTCCTTAATTAAAGGGTATGAACATGAGTATCTCAGCATGTTAAGTACTTAAAACAGCATGTACATGTTGCTGGACTGGGTCAAGCAAAGGAAGGATCTAAATTTAAATGCTGGTGAGTTAAAATTCTGTGGGTATGTTAGGAATAAGTTTTGTTTTTGTTTGTAAGAAAAAAAACAGCATGGAAATGAGTTTAGGGAGGAAGGAAGAGGGAGGGAGTGACCCGGTTCCACCCCCCACCCTCCCAGCGACAAGCTTACTTATTTTTGAAAAGAACTCTTGTCTGTGTTCTTCGCATCAAAGTAATGAAGCTTTTTTTGGGGGGAGGGGTCCTTATTTTTTGCTTGCATAATTCAGGACATAACAAGGGCCTGTGGCTGAGGAATAGTTCACTATACATCTATGCTGTTGCTGCTGTTTCCCCAGATATGTTAAATTAAAGCTGAAATAAGGCTGCATGTAAAAACAAAAACACATGCAAAAAAGAAAAGGGAGATAGAAAAGAAAAAGCACTCCAAATCTAGAATGGAAGTTTTTCACTGGAACTTTTTGTTATTTTATTTCATTTCAGGTTTCTGAAAAAGTTTTTTTTGGGGGGGGGGAAGTGGAATTAAACTGTCATACCTCCTCAGTTTCCCTCTTCCCCGAGATCTTGAAGCCTTCACTGCTACTTTGATCATGCACCTTTCACAAAGTCTTTGTGGTTTCACTTTTTTTTTTCATTTTAGCTTATAGAGAAAAAAACCAAAATAGATATAAATGAAAATGTACTGGCTTAAGGGAAGGGTTGCCACATTTTATTCTAGGCAGTGCTCATGTGCTTTTACCAGTTGTGTGGCAGATGGGAACCAGTGAAGTTAAAAGGCGGACCTGTTCCATTCCTGACTTCCATACAAACTCAATCAATTTGACTTATGGAGAGAAATGCTGCGCCAATAGGATTCCTGACTGTCATGCAAAAATTAATGGTATAAGACCCATAGAACTGAAGAAACAACATACTTGTTTATAGTGGAGCAATGTTATCTTCCTGACTAACAATTTACCATTTAACTCAGTGGTGTTCAGTTTTTGGACCTGCAGATGTTTTGGTCTTGTCCTCTGACTCCTGGACCATTGGCCATATTGGATGGACCAAAACGGTCTTCGTGGCTAGAGGGCAAAAAGCACTGCTCTAACTTAGGGCTCTTCCAGATGTATTTAGTCACCTCAACATTACTGACTCTGTACTGATGCTAATGATATATTTTCCACTATCTGTACAACCTTCCTCTTGTTTCACTATCATGACCTTTCCTGTTACTTTCCTTTCCTTTTTATCCCTCCTGAAAGAATGGTTTATTTTTATTATTACCTTGTTCCAGGAGGCAGAGGTTAGCACTACAGTGCCTCCCCTTTGAAGCTGGTGTCTGATGAAAGCCTCCCGTTTGGAAGCTTTCCTTTAGTGCTCAGATAAAGCAGGCTCCAGCAGAGACACTCCAGTAGATAAATTGAGATCTTAAATATTTGTTGAAGATTTCTTTCAATGAAGTGGAATGAAGGGAAGAGAAGCAGCTTCTCAAAGGGATGCTTGGAGAACCAGGAACTCCCTAGTGACCGAGCAATTTAAAAAAGCAGGGAGAGACAGAGCATGGAACTTTTGCCCTATCCAAAACATCCCTTACTTGCATTGTCAGAGTCATGACTAGAGGAAAACAAATGTCTCAGCTTGCCCCATGGGAATGGGGGAAATCTCAGGACTTCAGAGTTGATTGTTTCACCTCTCCCTCCCAAAAATGAAATGATCTGCAATATGGAAGAAAAGATTTGTTGTTGCTGTTGTTGTTGTCACTTTGATTTACATACCACCCCATTCATGCTGAAGCACCTTTCTGCATGCTTTACAGACAGTTAAAACAAACTTGTTGTTAGTTGTTTAGTCGTGTCCGATTCTTCGTGATCCCATGGACCAGAGCACGCCAGGCCCTCCTGTCTTCCACTGCCTCCCGGAGTTGGGTCAAATTCACGTTGGTAGCTTCGGTGACACTGTCCAATCATCTCATCCTCTGTCGTTCCCCTTCTCCTCTTGCCTTCGCACTTTCCCAACATCAGGGTCTTTTCCAGGGAGTCTTCTCTTCTCATGAGATGGCCAAAGTATTGGAGCCTCAGCTTCAGAACTAAATACATCATTTATAGCAAAAACATAATTTAAAAACTTAAACAGTGGCCCAACCAATTTTCAGAGTAAGCAAGATTGGAGGCAAGGCATTCAACCAGGGTTGACGTGAAAGGTCTCCCTGAAATCTAGTGTTTTAAACTGCCTCCCGAATGAGTACAGCAGGGAGGGGGCCAGATGTAGCTCCTCTGAGAGTTGATTCCATAACATAGGTGCTGCTGCCAAGAAGGCTCTACCTATAGTAGATGATCTTCGGGCATCTCTTAGGGTAGCTACACAGAGGACCCTGGCCTGAGAAGTTCTGGTGGTTCGGGCAGGTGACATTGGGGAAAGATGCTCCAAAAAGTAAAGTGGTCCCAAACCCTTGACAGGCTTTATATGTGAGTGACAGAACCTTGAACGTGATCTGGGACACAATGGGTAACCAATGAAGGCTGGCCAGCCCTGGGACGATGTGATTAAATTTCCTCACACTAGCCAACAGTCTGGCTGTAGTCTTCTCAAAGGAAGCCCCTTGAAGATGTGTTAGCTTCTAGAGCCTTTTGGGCCACAACTCTCATTGACTCTAGCCAGTAGCACAGCCAGCAATAAGGAAGGCTTCAGAGGACAGAGTGCTGTCCTCTGAAGATGCCGGCCACAGAGACTGGTGAAACGTTAGGAAGAACAACCTTCAGAACACGGCCAAAGAACCCAAAAAACCCACAACAACACAGGAAGGCTTGGACTTGCCGACAAACAGGCTTGGGTGGTCCATGCCACCACGACCACCACCTCCGATCTAAAATAACATGCCTTCTGCTGAGTCGAGTCCCTCTAACCAGTACTGTACTTCTAAGGAGCATTTTGTTTGAAAACACTTGATGTAAACAAGGATTCTACATTAAATCACAGGGAGTTTGGATCAGACACAATGCTGATACCTACTCCCAATCTGCAAGGACAAAATATTTGAAATGCCACCATTAAAAAAACTATATATATGTATTATCACTTGTATGTCATCTCATCGAAAGACTGAATGGTGCACACCACAGTACAGACAATCGTTGCATATATGATGCAACAATCAAATAATAAAACACTTCACATAAATGGTAAATACACAAATAAAAATCATGAAATCCAGATGATGTTCAACTACAACTCCCATCAGCCAAGCTGGCTGCAACAGACGGGAGTTGGATCCAATACTACTTTTCTAGATTGATCCAGAAGCACATACAGTTGGTGGATGTGCACGACGGATTCTTCTTGGGAGTGGGATATCACCGTATGAAATTCCTGACCTCAGAAGACCTTTCTGGCCCCCTTTCTGCTTGTATCTTGGGGAAAAGGGGAGCCACCCTGGTTTTCTAGCATGCATTCAACGCAGGGCTTACCATCCTACCCTAGCAGCCCTGTTCTGCCATTTTCTCCTTTGTACCCCACTATTTTTATTCATTTTAAACTATAAGATGGGGGAGTTTATATTTTATTATTTAATCATTAGCTTCTTTGGGGAGGTGGTGTAATTTTTTTTCCCTGATGGAAAGACAGCATAAAATATTATATTTAAATAAGTGTGCTGGAAGTTATTCTTGCTGAATCTTCTCCAGGAATACAGTAACCCGAGTCACTTTGATAATGATTGGGGTGGGGGGTGGCACCTTAGTTTTCTAGATTTCTAACAAGTTATTTTGGACTCTGCTTAGGTGACGTTGCCTCCTCCTCACTTTGAAGGACCATCTAGGCCAGGCCAGATTGAAACAGAACAAACCACAGGAAGGGAGAGCAGAGGACGAGTCTTGGAACAGCTTGTCCAGAAGCAACAGAAGCTGGGCAGCAATCAGCAGCCGATTTAACAGGTACATGGATCCACCTGGCCATTGTTGTCTTCTTCTTGACAGCGAGATCTTTTTATTTCATTTGTAAATGATGCTTGCACCTCAGTATCGTTCCTATAAATTCTTCTCGCCCATGTTTATACTCACAACCACCCCATGAGGTAGACTACCCTGAGGGAAAGTCAGCCAGTGGGCTTCATGGCTGCGTGGAGGCTTCAGCCTGGGTCTCTCAAGCACGGCGTTCCTACAGAAACGTATGCCCGTCTTGCTGTGGGCTCCCAGGTTCTCCTCCTTTCTGGCTTTGCTCTGGCCGACAAATATGCTTTTATTCCATCAGGTCTCTGGAGACTAACTGGCTGCTGAGGAAAAAGGGTTTATCAAGTGGGTGCACAACTTTGTTATTGGGCGAAATCCTGTTGCTTAGCAGAGTAAGTTACAGTTAGAGTAGGCCCTCAAGATCAGTTGGGATTTGATGAATCAGCTCCTCTGTAAGTCACATTGGTTCAATGGGCCTACTCTAACTGTGATTTGCTACGCTAAGCAACAGGATCTCAGCCAATGTTCAATATTGATGATATTATTATTGCTTCAATTGTACCTCCTCTTTTAGGTGCTGCTTTTCAACGGACAACCTGAGTTGGCCCAGAACTTGAGGTGCCCAACCCTAGCGGTAAGTCATGCCGTCTACTCTAACGCTACCTTCGTTCTGTTGTACAAATGCCACCCAAAACGTCGAAATATTGATCGCGTTGGCTCACATGGGATGTGCGGGAATTGTGAGAGGACGAGAGGCCTAACAGTCTCTAGATAGATGGTTCCCAATCCTAGGTCCCCAGATGTTCTTGGACCGAACGCTCCCAGAAGCCTTCCCCACGAGCTGGGCTGGCCAGGATTTCTGGGAGTTGCAGTCCAAGAACCTCTGGGGACCCCGGGCTGGGAGCTATGGCTCTAGACAGACAGCGACCTGCGCCTCCTTGTGTGTTGGTATCCTTATTCCCTTGAATTACAGTTTCCATAATCCCATTGGAACAAGGGCTGATGAGAGGTGTAGTCCGATGAACCTGCCAGATACTAGGCTGAGCCAGTGTGACCGGTGGGCAGAGGCCCCCCTCTGTATCAAGAGGCAACGTCCTTCCTATCTTCCTTGGACTACAACTCCCCCCTGTCCTCTCCAGGGCTCAGCTGAATGGCGCTGATGGGATCTGTAGCCCAAGCCATCTGGAGAATGTTGGTCGGCCTGTGGTGGTTTCCTTCCTTCCTACCTTCCTTCCTTCCTTCCTCTGGGTTGCTCATTTCATTGCTGCTCTGCCCTTTCTTTGGGAACCAAGAGGAAAGGCCATCGCCTCCATCCCACCGGAGCGGGCCGGCGGGCGGGCGGAGGCCGCCTAGCTTTCTATTTCAGTTCCGCCAATCAGATTTATTTATATTATTCTACTGATTTATATCAGCATTACCTGATTTAGTACTAATATTTGTTTCCTTTTTGCAGGTGTTGTCATTATCGATGACCACCCTGAAGTGACTGTAGTTGAAGACTCCCAATCCAACTTAAACAATGATGGTTTTACTGAAGTGGTATCAAAAAAACAACAAAAACGCTTGCAGGATGAAGAACGTAGAAAGAAGGAAGAACAAACTGTGCAGGTTCACGACATTTCATACTGTCTTTTTAGCATGTCCTTTTGTATAGAGAATTGCAGACTTGAGTTCCTTCAGTATTCCTGAAAAGTTTTTCTTTCCAGGCCACATCTAGTTAGACATAAATCTATATTTTTTGTATTAAAGGTTTCATTTATTCAAGTTTGTAATGCCCTGGAGCATTTAAAAAGGTACACACAATTGCAGTGATCAAGTAATTTTAAAAACTTTCTTACAGTGATTCTTTTATTGGGCAGCAATTCTAATATTTCTATTCCTGATTGATAGAAGCTGCTTTGACAGTCTTTTGAGCAAAAAAGATTGTGGATGTTAGGAAGGTTTGATAGGTAAATAGTCTGGCTCAGCATAAGGCAACTTCCTGTGCTTCAACTGTGTGATTTTTTTTCAGAGGTGATTTGTGGTAATGTCTATTTGTTTCAGAGCCTAATTAAGGGTATTGGTAAATTACCTTTAAAGCATATCCCAAAAATCTTATTCTTAGGTATGGACAAAAAAGAGTTCAAATGAAAAAGGAAGGTGCTCAAATTCCAAGCTGCCACCTAGGTTTGCCGCCGGCAAAGCTATTCCTCCAGCGGCGGCGGCAGCAGCAGCAGCGGCGGCAGCACCAGAGGCAGCGGCGGAGGAGGCGGAGGTAGGAGCGGGGGAAGGGAGTTGGAGGGAGGGAGGGGAGGGGAGAGGAGCCAAGAGAGAGAGAGAGGGAACGAGCGAGCTAGAGATCGATCCCGACCCGGGGGCCGCTTCCATCCTCGCGCCGCGCGTCCAGCGCCTGTCTCTGCGCCCTCACTGCCGCGCGCTCAGATTTCCCTCTTGCCCGGACGCGCCACCTTGTGCAAACTTTTAATGGCTATCTAAATTAATAAAAGCGACGCGGCTGGAAAAGCAGCCGCCGATGGTGACGAGAGGGAAGCCATGAGGAGGACGGCGAGGTGCCGGACAGGCCCGTTTCCACGCTAACGCCGGCTGGGAACGGAGCCGGCCCGGCCGAGAGCGTCTCTCCTTGGCGCACGTGTGCGGGGCGCGGCGGGGATGTTCCCGATTATTTTAGGTTGGGAGGGTGTCGTGGCTTTGAGGCCATGAATTTCGGGCCAGAAGGGGCCCCCAAACCTAAAACAAAATGTGAGGGGGAGAAAACCTTGAGCCAACCGTTTACCTGCCTCCTAGGGGCTAATCTCTGGAGTCGCAGCCTTAAATAAGGGGATCATAAAACTTTTTAAACACTCGCTGTGCTCTCTTTCTCTCGGGTCCTCTCTCCTTGCTCCTTTTAACCCATACGGTTCCCTTTTTTAAGCGGTACAAAGAAGAGAACGTGGGGACGGTGCGCGTGCCACTCAACACGTGTTGCCTTGTTGCGCCAGTGTTCTGTCCGAAGCGGAGGAAAAACGGGCCCGGAAAGCTGAGCTCGTTCTGGCTTGGCTTCCTTCACGGCTGGGCTGTTTCTTGGGCCAGGAGTGGGTGGGCGAGCTGGCGGAGAAAGAAGTTGCCAGCCTGCCTTTGAACAGGCGTTGCTGCCCGTGGGCCTGCTTGGTGGCCTCACCTCTCCTGAGGCCGGCGGAGCCCTTTCAAGGGTCCCGCGTGTGTCGCTTTTCTCACGATCTGGAGGCGAGCAGAGGTCGGGGGAGGAGACGGCGCGCCACGGACAGGTGGAGAGGAGGGCAGCCTGAGGCCACGGGCCGCCTCTCAGTCATTCAGAGAAAGCAAATGAAATCTCAGTCTCTTCCCCCCCCCCCGCCGCCGTCGCACTTTGGCCGCCGTGCGTCTTTTGGCGACACGTGTCTGTCTGTCTATCTGTAGCAGGAAGGAGGCGGGCCTGAAAGAGTTAAAGCTGGTGGGGGCTTCCAGCGACAGGGATGATGTCTCTTTTTGCCGTGTGTATGTTTTGCTCCTTAAACCTCTTTTGCAAATAAGTTAGTCACCGCTGCTTTGAATGCAATCATTCCAGAGGAAACAGGGTTGGACCCCCGCCAGTTGGTTGTGTGAAGGGAAGGGCGCGTCGGAGGACAGGTGGCCTGGAGCGCGCTCCTCCGAGCAGATCCTGGTTGCCTTCGGACCCGCTGCCTTTCCGGGCGGTGGGGAGGGGGATTTGTGGAGAAGGCGGCGGCGGCGGCGAAGGAAAGATGCCGTCGTCCTCTGCCGGCTGCCCGTGTGCGTGCGTGCGAGCGTGCGTGCTTGTTTGTTTATCTCTTCCCACCCACCCCATCTTGGCCACACCTCCCGTTCCCCAGCAGCTGGGTTGGACGGTCCGACGCGACAGCCGCCCCTCAGAGTGAGAAAAGGGGTGGCCGGGTGGGTTGTTCTCTTCCCCTCCCCATGCAACTCTGGGGGGGAGTCAGGAAGTACAGTGTGTGATTTTGGCCCAGAGATCAGGGAGGCCGAGCGAAAGAGAAGGCCCTGTTTTGTTTTGTTTTGGTTGGGGGGGGGAGGCTCGGAGGGGTGGATTTCTGCGCCCAGGAATGCCAAAAGCAGGTTATGTAACCACGTTAATCGGAAACACTGGAGGAAATGTGTCGGAGGAGGGTCGGTTTGGGGCGGCAAATGTTTATAAAGCTGCAGGACTTGGCGGTTACACAACCGCCCTCCCCCTGTAGTTTAAAAGCTCTCTCCTTTCTACATCGCAAGAAAAGGTCTTCATAGGCATCGTTTGCCATTTTACATTCTCTCTTACCCCTCCTCTAAAGACACTGGGAGGGGGGCAGAGGATCCGGAACAACAGCGCCCGTGTTTTATGCCCCAGGCGTGTGTGCTGAAAACTCCTGCGCTCTCTTGCTCTCGCTCTTGCTCTCTCTCGCTCTCTCTCTCTGTGTTTTCCTTTTTTTCTTTTCTTTTCCTGAGCTAGTGCATGTCTGGAGAAAATTATGTAACCAGAGTAAGCGCGCTCCTATTATTATCCTCTTCGCATAAATGAAAAAAGGCTGGCTGGAGAAGGCGCCTGGCTTCGTGGCGAACGAGGGTGGGTGGGGTGCGCGGTGGGAGCCGTTTTGGTGATCTTAAACGGGTTAGGCTTCCTGATACTGGTAACCTGCTGACCCAAATGTGCGTTGAAGCTGCAGCGGCTTTTCTCTTGCTCTCCCGTCCTCCGCCCGCCCACCCCCACAATATGGAGAGAGAGAGAGAGAGAGAGAGAGAGAGGATTAAATTGGGGGAGGAAAAGTGAAAACCGCACAGCCGCCCTGGAGTCTGCACGCAAGCAAAGCGCTGTCTTATGTAACAGCCTGAATGGAAGGGAGAGAGAGGGGGGGTGATGTGTAGAGGGGTGGGAATCCAGGAAAGGAGCCTAACTAAAGGTGAGTGATCTTGGCTGAGAATCCGCGAGGGGGGGGCGGGGCGGGAAGGCATTACCCAAAATCCCTGGGAATGGGGTGTCCCAATGCACAGACAGCCCAAAGAAGGTCTGTGTCATTGTCTTTGCCTGAACATCCCATCCATGTGATGAGCATTATCAAGCACATAGCCTTTGCAGGAGAGAGAGATAACACTTTTTGGATCATGTCATGAAGACTGTGCAAAATCAAGTCTCTTTCTTTCCACCCGGTCCACCCACACCCACCCGTTTCAAAGGGCCAGAGAAGCAGAGCTGACATTTCTTATCAGTGTGACTTCCATGGTGGGGCGCTGGGAATTAATTCCTTCTGGAACCACAGCCTGCTCTTTCCTCCTCAAACCTTGCAGCAGGTCTGGGCTTAATTTGTTGCTCCTGGTTGAAATGAGGCTTTTGAGGATGGAGGCACTTTTTTGGTGGTGGGTGGTGAGGGCTGGCCTTTCCCTCACACATCAAAGTCCTGATCTACACCAACAGCAGAGGAATGAGATGGTATCCCTTGCTGAAACAGGCGTATGGACCACTCAAAGTAGAAGAATCCCATTGTCATTCTCCTTGTTTTAATGCTCTTTTGGAACAGAACCAAACTCCCTGTAAGCAGAAAACAAGCCCAGAAGCAGGGGCTAGGCAGTGAGTGGCTATTATTGCCCTTATAGTGATTGGAGATCAGGCACGGTTTCTAGGTCTTGAAAATG